CTTATTGCAATTTCTTAAGTTTCAATTTATTTTAATTTAGTATGTAGGGCAAATCAAAGATTTAATAAAAGTACAATACATGCATAATAAATTAATAATTTGCACAATATTATTTAAGAAAGTGCATATTAAAAGTACTTTCATATTTAATCAAACCGAATTACTTAGTTTATTTTGATCGATTAATTTAATTAACCCGAATAATCGATACAAAATATTATTTATATTATTAATTTAATATGAATAATTTTCAATGTAGAATATTATTTATATTATAATTAAACATATATTTAGTATTTTTCAGCCCTATGAGGCAATAATGTGCAATTTAATTAATGTGCATTTTGACAGACGTTAATATGCACTTTATGTAATATGCAAACATTAATATGAAAAATTTGTAAAGTGTAAATCCACATGTTAAATTGTGAATTGCACAAGACATTATTGTGAAACTAATAGTTTTTTATGAATTATAAACTTGAGTTCATAACAAAATTGTAAATATATTGGAGTTTATGATATTGCAATTGTAATAATGTGTTTTTAATTAACATTGCTTTATATTTATCATATTATCTAAATAATAAAGTTATATTTTGCAATTTTAATTCTTTATTTAATATTTTCATATTAATATTAAGTTGGTGTGCTGAATACACTAATGTGCATTTCGTGTATCACTATTGTGCAGTTTGACGTTCACTAATGTGCATCTTGTTTTAAACTATTTGTCCATCCTGCATTGCTGGTATTTTTATGTGTAACTTCATATTAAAATTGGACCAATATAATTGGTTTATTAGGTTTGTTAACCGAACTATCCTAAATAAGTGAAATAATTTATTATTCATATAATAATAATATATTTAGTATACTTATATTTGTATTAATATTTTTTATATTATTTTTTGAATGAAAAAATGCATAATATATTTGGCATTTCTCAACATTTCTACATTGTTATACTAATGTGCATACTCGAACAAATGTGCATTTGGACTAACGTGCAGTCTGTCAGCACAATATTCAATTGATTAACATATACATGTAAGCCAAAATATATAATACATATACGTGTAAAAAATATATATAAATAATGTTTCTATATAATTCGGTTAGTTTGTATATTTTGGTTATTTTAAAAATATAGCTGAAATGGAACCTGTATAGTTCGATTGGTTCAAATATTTTTGTTATTTTAAAAATTATAGTTGAAAGTAAACTGAAAAAATAAAATAAAAATTGATTTTTAAATGAGATTCATTTTTAGTTTTGTTGGCTGAAAATATTATTTTGTATTCTCCAACACAAGACTTCTTTAATGTGCATTTTGTTTGGCATTAATGTACAGTTTTTGTTGTTTTTATAAAATACATATTTGCCCCCTGACATGATTGTAAATTTATACCCAAATTTCCAAAAACTGCAAAATAGACCCCTATAAAGTATCTAATTTTGAAAACAAAGCCCCAACCCAAAAGTTACAATCCTCTTCAGTCAAAACCAAAACATCAATGTTATGTCCAATTCCTCCACCTAAATCAAAACCAAATTATCAATTTTCGGTCCAAGTAGTCCATAGAAAATCAAATGGAAGGATCAGCTATAAAAGTTGGGATTTGATTCCGACTATTTTCTCTTCCGAGAACCTAATTTTGAACAGTAGCTGTGACGGGCGTTCTTAGGTGGTGGATAGCGGAGGCGACGCCGGCGTTCTTCG